GAGGTTATTAACCAATCCCTTAGCCTCGGGATGAGAGTAGGAGGAATCACAAAATGCAGATGAAGTGGTAGGCGGACGAGGAATTGAGTCTGTTTTGGGTACCATCCTGATACGGGATCAATGGGTAGTGTGGTACATGTGGAGATTTTAGGTGAAGTGCAGGACAAAGGAATGAGTGTAGACGCGTTGAGGCGTGTTGAGAAATCTCAGCTTGAGCCTGTCTTTGATGCATCCGATGAAGGATGGAGTTTTTGGAGCGGTATACAGAGACCAGGCTAGAAAGAGGGAATGGAAGCTCGGCCGTTTTACATCTGCCATAGCAAAGACGGCACGATTATACTAGGACACTAATGCCCTGAGAAAGCTAGGAGTGCAAGTTTCCATGATTGCCTTATAAAAAGGAAAGCAGCAAACTGTGTATGGAGAAAGAAATTGAAACACAGCAGCTGTTGCGAGTCGGTGGGTCCAGGACAGGGCTAGAGTGCCACTTATAAGGAAACCCCGGATGTATTACGGAGGGCAATAGCACAAGCAGTCAACCATTAGCAGCCCCGCGCCGACTACTAACTTAAAGATGAACTAACTACCCTAACGGCCAGCTAACTGACCTTGGCAACCGCATAACCGACTTTAATACACTTAAATACTACGTAGATAGCTTTTGGGTTTGACCCTTATTGCTACATGACACTAACACGAATAGTTATAAGTTTATATGACACTGAACTACTCTTATACTTTTGTGAGCTAGATGTTAATACAAGTTAATGTTAGTAACGCATCAAACCAACTCACGTCGAGTCACTTCCTCGACCCGCCGATCGACCACAAGTTGTTGAACTAGGAATAACATCAGGAATGAGAGTTCTAAGGGCTAACGCCCTGCGAGCCTGCAGAACCGACGACGAAGGGGCAGAACCTGACGACAGACGGGGAACACCGGGACTGGCCGTGATGGTGCCGTTGCGAACGGCCCGTTCCGCACGATCACGGATAGATCGTAGTGGGTCATGTCTGCAGGACTTCGCAGGCGCCGGCGCGCCCAGGGTTCTGTTGGAGCGATCTTCGTGATACGCGACAGCAGTGGTGCTGACATAAGGTGCATGCACGTACTTGAGCGGAGCGCAGCCTGGGTGCATGCGCATGGTAATAGAAAATTCTTGGTGGATGTAGGTCAGAAGAAGTGGACCAGTGGAAGAGGTGTAGCACACGGGATACAGAGTTTTGAATCAAAAGGTCAGTCCACCCTCACTGAAAAGAAGAGCCAG